TTATGTATCCTCTTTAGGCCACGTGCTGCATAACTGAGGATGACCTTGAACTTCTGATCCTCCTGCATTCTAGAGTTCTGGGGATGACTTGCTGGAGCTGAGTCTAGTCTTCCACCATGTGAGTCCCAGGAATGCAATTTAGGTTATTCTTTACTTGATGAGCCATCTCCCTGGCCTTAATTTAATTTTTCTATCATCCAGTGTGTGTACTCGTGCACAGGTGTTCTCTCAAACATCAGTATAGGGCATGTGTAGAAGGCAGAGGAGGTCTCTGGGAACTGACTCTCTCTGTGGGATTGTGTTGGGACAGATTGAAAAGGGGTAGAAAGCAGCTGGAGAAATAACAAGCGATAAAGTGTTGGAAAAGCTGAATAGCAAAGATTGTTATTTTGTGCATTTGTGATTTATAGTGAAACCTAACCGTCACACTGGGGCTACAACTGGGGCTTGATGGAATTTTAAACCTCTTCCTCCCCATCTCTTCCTCTCCTTTGTATAGACCAGACACTAACAATGTTTTTACAGTCTTTTTTTTTTTTCTAGACAACCTTTCTCTGTGTAGCCCTGGCTGTCCTGAAGTAGACCAGGCTAGACTCAAACTAAGAGATCCACCTGTCTGCCTCCCCAGTGCTGGGTTTAAACGTGTTTGCATTACCTCTGGCATATTTTACATTCTTAATGTTTAAACAAACTTAAGAGCTGGGTAGTATTTCATGGCTCTTGAAAAGGATATGAAATTCAAATTTTAGTGTCCATAATGAAAATTGTTTCGGAGCATAGCCACATAGATTCATCTAAACATCTCTGACAGTTTTGTGCTGCCACACAAGAGGCAAGTCCTTGTGACAGAGACTTTTTGTGCCTCACAAAATCTAAAGTGTCTGCTATCTGGCTTTTGGCAGAAAAACTTGCTGACCCCTGACCTAGTGCCCTATTTTGTTCAAATCAGCACTGGAACAGTTCCCAGGCAGCTGAAACTGGAATGCTTGCTGCCTGGCAACCACTTGTCTTCTTGCCCTGTGGAGATGCAGGGGCTGAAGGCTCCAGGGCACCAGCCTTCCAGTTTCTGCCTTCCACTCATGTAGAACAAACTACTACTGAGCCTATACTCACACTCGGCACCCATGCCCAGGGGTGTACTAGAAAGGCCCAGTGCTCTGTGTATCCAGCTAGGTCTGAGTGGGCGCCAGGCCCAGGCAGTCTAGAGGTGGATGTTGTGATCTACAGATGTAGAAGCAGAGGCTCAGAGATGCAGTCTCAAGCCAATGTCTAGCACTAGTCAAGAGCACGTCTGGGACTCAGGTATGGTTTCCTGCCCATAGGGACTGCATGGGTCGAGGTGCCATTGTCCAAGTTGTCTAGGAGGCTTTTCTATTAACTTTCCAATCTGGAGTTCTTCTCTTCATCTGGCTTACTGCTGAGTCACACCAAAGCCCTGGGAATCACAGATTCTTTTCCTGTTTGTATCACTCTTTTAGACAAAGATTTATTATTTTTAAAGGCTTGAATGTTTGCCTGCACGAATGTATGTGTACCATGTGTGCGCCTCATGTCCACAAAGACCAGAAGAATGTTCCAGATCCTCTGGGACTTAAGTTACAGAAGATTATGAGCCACCATGTGGATTCTGAGAACTGAACTTGGGTCCTCTGCAAGAGCAGCAACTGCTCTCAATTACTGAAACACCTCTATCCAGTCTTTTTTTAAAATTTTATTTTATTATTTAAAAAGATTTATTTATTTTATTATGTATGCAATGTTCTGCCTGCATGTACACCTGAACACCAGAAGAGGGCACGAGATTCCATTATAGATGGTTGTGAGCCACCATGTGATTGCTGGAAATTGAACTCTGGACCTCTGGAAGGGCAAGAAGTGCTCTTAACCTCTGAGGCATTTCTCCAGGCCCCTCCAGTCCTTTTTTCTTTTTTTGTATCACTTTGAAAACCCATTTTCTCTTACACTTTTTCCTGATGCCACCTGAGAGAGTGAGCATTCATAAACCATTGTGTATACATGTATATACATATTATATCACCATATATAGATATATGTGTGTGTGTGTGTGTTTAAAAGATGAACTAGAACACTGTATTTTCTCAATAAAGGCTGTTGGTAGATGAATGTACCTACATAGAACACCTTGCCATACCCACCCTCAACCAGGACACATCCTACTTAGAAACATTTCTTCTGAATCCTCATGGAAGACCCTTTGTCTTGCTGGGTATGAAGTACTGAGCCAGCACTGTCAGAAGAAAACTTCTTCCAAACTGAGGTTGGTGAGGATCAACTTCAGCTCTTAGCACCCCTCACCTTCCCTTTCACAGTTCTTTTCCTCTCCTAGCTCCTCTTCCCACGTTATTCCTGCCCAGACCTGTTCATGCTCAGCTACAGGCTCCTGAATATTTCCATCTTCTTTTTCTCAATAGAAACTTTTGTTACCTCTTCCCAGAAGACACATGAGATGACCATTCCCAGAATCCATTGCCTCTCCTGTAGTAGGTAGCTCCTGTCCTATTTAGGAGAGGAGACAGAGAACATTTTGTTCAGGAGCCCAAACCAAAAGACACAGGAGGGAATGAAAAACGAAGTTACCCACAAACCCAAAGCACACAGAAACCACAGTGGTGTTTTAGCAGACATCCAGAGAGATGAAAGGTAGTGATGATGCTGTTGGATTGTGGGATAGCCTAGTACTCCTCAGGTCACAGATTTTAGGTTGACGTTGGTTTCCATGTACCCTTCATTTATGGGAACTCAGCTGGATCTAAGGGAAGACACTAGACCCTCTGTTTTGGTATTGAGCCATCCAGACTGGGGTCTTTGAGCCACAAAAAGCTCTCTACCTTTCCCATGCAGTTTATAAACATCCAGACCAGGAAAAGGAAACTTGCATTTCCCTGAGGGTGATACACAGCATCTAAGCACCTCCAGGAAGGATGCCAGGGCAGCAGCAAGCCAGGCTTTAACATTTTTGTTGTGTTCTTCAGTTCAGCAGAGTATAATTTTGTCTCTTTTTAGGACTTCTGATTTCTGTCTAAGACAAACCTACTTGAAGAGCAAATCTTCTGGTCCTTTCCGGATGTGGAGTTCAGTTCTACATAAAAGAAGAAAGTGACCTGGAATGAAAGTCATCTGGTTGAAGTCAGCACAACACACAGCATCAATGAGCTACTCAGTTTCCTTCCTGCTGCCTTAGGTTCCTGCAAGCAAGGAGATGCTATTTCTTCAGAACAGCCCAGAGAGGGATTATCCATTGTGGCATCTTGTCAGGATTCCCGTTAATGTGATATCAACTCCAAATCAACTTCTGGTTACTTTTGAGACATAGTAGCACACACACACACACACACACACACACACACATACACACACACTATATATATATATATATATATAGTGTGTGTGTATGTATATTATATATATAGTGTATATAGTATAGTGTATATTGTATATAGTATATATAGAATATATACATATATACACTAACACACACACTTAAACATACATATATATGGTGGCTATGGAAGTGCTTTATCAGCATCTGTTACTTGGAAACTGTTTTTTGTTTTTGTTTTTTTTTTCACTATTCCTTAGGTATTGGGATGAAACTTGCAATCTATTTTATCTTTATTATAACAACTAGAAGAATGTAATAGTCACTCAAATAAAGTGTTACTTAAATAAAAAGAATACTTTTTCACAATTAGAAGGTAACATATTTGTGTGTGTGTGTTTAACTTATTTTTCTCCTTTGCTGTTTGTAGGTGTAATGGACTCATGAATCTGAGAGGCAAGGGGGCACAGAATTCGTCTTTGTCTTTGCTGTAAATTTCAGGTTTTAGTTGGGATCTCACTAAGCTTCCTGTCAGCAGGAACATTCTCTTTGTGTTTTCTTGAGTAATTTTTATTTACAAAGTACACAAGAGAAGAAATATTCAAGTTGCCATTTTGTAAACAACCCTTTGAAACAATGCTGTCAATGCCCTCTGAAAAGTTACAAGGAAGACTGTTTTCTTTTTCCACAGCTTCTCCTATGAAACCCTTCACCCATTAGTTTCTTCAAGGAGTCCTAGAACAGATAAAGCCAGCAGGTGCCCCCTCGATTGCCATGAGTTGGTTAGTAAGCAAAGTAGACATTTTATCTGACCTTTCTGTTTACGTGACACTTTCCCTTCCATTTTTGTTTTTTTCTCTTCTTGCTTCATCCCCTCCTACTTGGAAAAATAAATAATTCAGTTAACCATATATATTTCCATCTTCTGCCTTCTATTTTGTCACTTAATCCAGAGAAACTCCGTGTGTTATTGGTCTTTACAGACTCTTTTCACATGCTCTCTCACCTTTCCATCTCCCTCTCTGGAGATATCTGGAAGCTGAACGACACCCTATCGTTTCATTAGTAGTACACATGGCCTCCACTCAGTCAAATCCAAAGCCTCCTTTTTTTAGGGAAACCAAATATCTTACGTCTTAATAGCTCTGTCAATGTTTCCCTTTACATCTCTTTCGCTGTAGGAATTCTGGTTTCCCTTTTCGCCCTGAACACTATGTCTGATGGCAGTCCTCTTTGTACTCTCTGGGTTATTTGGGTGTCAGAAGTAGACTGAGCAGATGATTTTCTATCTAGTCCAAGATATCTTCAAGAATCAAAAGGTGCTCAGTAGATAACAGACAACAATCAGTGCTTCTCCCAGTTGAACTGAGATCTCCTCCTAAGCCTCAGGGTGTTGTGGACATCAGAGACCAGTATGGGACAGATATTGATACAGAAAAATATGTGTCAAGAGGCTTTTTTGAGTCTATCTTCAACTTGCTTTGCTACTTGATTCTCTGATTAATCCAACTTCACACTCACGTAAGAATCCAGTTCCTGGAGGATAATAGTGTCATAGCAGGTTTTGTGTGTGGGAAAAGTGAATGAAGAGATCTGTGAGGAAAGACAGAACTAGTTGGGCCAGGTTTTTTTTTAATTCTCCTGGTTCCAGTCACTGGATCTATCTTTTAAAGTAAAGATGGATATGTTGCTGAAACTGCCTCCAGGCTCTTCTCAGCCCTGGGTTTCTCAAGATCAGATGCACTGACTGGCCAGCTGGGTAGGCAGTAATGATAAACTGGCACAAACTATTCCAGAGACTGTCGATATGAAAGATGCCTAACATGGAAATAAATAGAGCCAGTGCATTGATAATGTAGAGAATGAGAGAGTGGCTGGTTGATTTGATGGCACCAAAGTGAGCCTGCATGCTGGAGTCCCCAGAGCCTGTGGCGTTGTTTCCCATGTGCAAGGTGTGCCTCTTGAGTGAGGCAATCAGCAGAGTGGCTGCCATGATGAACATGATCAAAGGAATGAGGATTCCTATATTATATAAAAGAGCCAGGCTGAGCACATTGATCTCAGAAAAGTACTTCCTCTCTGTGGAGTTAGAGGAAGGGATGGGGACAGAAGTGTTCACAAACACTTTGAAGATGTCGTTAAAGAAGAAGGAGCTCAAGATAATGGAAACTAATACTGACAGACTCAAGAGCTGAGGCACCAGCATCGTGATTTTCCGCTTCATCATAAGAAACACAGGGTGAGTGAAGTTTGCAATTTTAAGACAATAGAAGACGTTGAGCCAGGCAGCAAACCAGAGGTTACAGTAGTTCAGAAACACAGTGATGGTTTTGAAGAGTTTATACACAGAATTTTGGTTATAGATGACCCGGAATAATAAGCTGTAGGTAATCTCTATCATTGTCCAGATTTGTAGCAAGAACCTGCAAAAACTCAGCACCAACATAAGGTGGTCACCCATGGGGAGTCTTTTGCTCCTGACCCACTCAGTCCCATAGATGACTGTGATGAAGCCATTGCCAATGATGCCAATAATACAGCCTATTGTAGAGGTCACAAAAGTGATGAAGATGTTACAACTGGAAACATAATTGTCGGTAGCTTCTGTGGTTATTATTGTCATTCTGTCTGACTCCGACTTTTAGGTTCCTCACTGAGAAGTGATGTCTGCCAGTAATCCTCCCACACTCGTCAGCGTTACTGCAATGCTTCCTCTTTTAGTTGAGAGTGATTTCCTATTTCTTTTTATTTGTCACATGACTACAAGTAAGTGGCTTGACATGCAAATTATGAAAGGATTTGGTTACTGGCTCTGACTCCATTTTTCATAAACACCCACTTGTTTGAGGGCTTTCAGAAACATATTGGACAGAATTTGCAATGAATGTCCACCCTAGAATCTTCTCGTTATTATTTTAGTCCATATTCACCTGATAGGAGAAGATATCCAAGTTAGGAATCTCAGTGTCCCTTGCCTTTTTTAAAAAAGCTTATCTCATAAGATTTGTGATACTTGCTATTGTTTATAAAGCATACTGCTTTCTCATGTTGCCCAGGGTAGCTTATGATTTTTTTTTTCCACTGCTGCCTCAATTGCACATATTATAGGCATGCACTATTGTCCTCAGTCTTCTCTCTTATTGCCCTTCTTTTCTTTTTTTTAATTAATTACACTTTGTTCACTTTGTATTCCCCCATAAACCCCTCCCTTCTCCCCTCTCAGTCCCACCCTCCTTCATCTTTCTCCACTCATGCCCCTTCCCAAGTCCACTGATAGGGGAGGTCCTCCTCTCCTTCCTTTTGATCCTAGTCTATCAGGTCTCCTCAGGAGTTTGCCCTTATTTTCTAAGATTTAGTTTTATGGTTAGCATGTAGGCCAATAGTAAACTCATTTTAGCTCATATATGAACATCTTTCACTTTGAACAAAGTTTCTTCTGGAAAGGCCTCAAACAGTGCACAGAAAAGACAAAGTGGGATGATGGCACAATACTTGTCTGAGAGGATGGCCTTTTCTACCTCTGGGCAGTGGACAGATGTAGGAGCATGGGTGAGCTATGCTGTCTTGTGAAGACAAGTGGGCTGCATGGTATGGGTCTATGTGCCTGGTCGCTTGCTCTTCCTAACAGCACTAACATCTCCCATGAAGCCAGAAGACTTTTTGAGTTTGCGTGGTTACTTGGCTGAATCTACTCAATTGTTTTGTTGTCTACTTTTATGTCAACTTGTTACAAGTTACAGTCATCATAGAAGAGAGAGCCTCAGTTGATAGAGTGCCTCTATGAGACTGGGTTGTAGGCAAGCCCAGAGAACAGTATCTTACTTAGTGATTGATGGGGGAGGGCACCACCCATTGTGGATGGTGCCATCCCCGGGCTGGTGGTCCTGGGTTCTATTAGAAAGCAAGTCAAGCAAGCCACGAGGAACAAGCTAGTAAGCAACACACAACACCCTGCCCCATGGCCTCTGCATCAGTTTCTGCCTCTAGCTTCCTGCCCTGATTGTGTTCCTGTCTTCACTGCTTTTGAAGATGGACAGTTATATGGAACTGTGAGTGAAACAAACACTTTTCTTTCCAAGTTGCTTTTGGTCATGGTGTTTCAGATAGCAATAATAACCTTAGGACAGGTTGCTTGTTTTAAACATGGAATATAGTTTTTAACTGAACAGAATATAGCCCAGTTCACAACACCTTTTGGCACTGAGATTTACTATCAGCTACCATTTGCTTATGAATTTGTCCTATTACATGGAAAGAAATTATGAAAAGGAATTTTTACAACCCCAAATTAATTTGATTTAAAATAAAGACGTTATAAATTTGTTACTATAAAACTCAGTTGCAGAGCTGGGCATGTTGGAATTTGCCTACTATTTCAGCATTGGAGGTGCTGAGGCAAGAGAACAGGCAAGTTTGAGGACATATCAAATTACACATAGCAAGAGTCTGTCTCAAACAAACAAAATGAAAATTAAACCTAGCCAAATTATGCTATGTTACTTGATCATGTTTGTATAAAAATACTACTAGATAAAGACGGATAACACAAAATGACTAAAATATTTTATAGTGAAAAAGAAGCCCTAATGTCAACATAGAGTTACACAAGAAAACAAGGAATAGGAAATAGTTTTTATTTTCAGTCTAACATTTCATGGAAGGGGCTCACTGACTTCCGTTACTTATCCCAGGAGAGGAGAGCAGAGTGACCGTGAATCTCTCTTATATATTATAAAGCACTAACCTTAGTCTTTTTGCTTATTTTGTCTCAACTTATATATATTTTCAATAATATATGTACAAATTTCTTAAATGTAGTTGTTGATTTCCATTTTTTTCCTGGTTCCATTTCTGTTGGTTTTTATTCACACTTTTCTTTACTCTTAGGATCTGAGAGCAGAAAGGCATGCTAGGGAGGATTTGCCTGCAACCAAAAAAGACTTAAGCAAGAGGGAAAGGGAGGGCAACAGTCAGTGGCTCTGGGGATGGGTTTCACACAAGCTGTAAGTCTAAGGTTTCCAAATCCGAGCCACTCATAGTGTTATAATTGCAGTGTTGCCAACTCATTTTATTTGTTTATTTATTTATTTTAATCTGGAGAGCCAGAATAGAGGAGGAATGGCTTCAGTGTGGTACCTAGAGTTCATGTTGCAAATCTAATTCCCAAGTGCAACAGTGTTGAGAGGTGGGAATTTTAAAATATACATTTTTATTTATATGTAGAAAATTTCATAAATGTATACAATATACTGGATCATGCCCATCCTCTCCAATGCCTCCCAGATGCCTCCAACAGATTTATCAGCCAACTTCATGTTCTTTTAAAATGATTCACAGAGTCCAACTAGTGCTGTATGAAATTACATACACGGGTGTAGGGTCATCTCCTGGATGGTGGACAACCTGTCAGGGTCTACAAAACCAAAGAAAACTGACTTTTCCTTCTCCAGCAGCTATCAATCATCAAGATTTTCTTGTTGGGGGTGGGGTTTTGTGAGCTCCCCTGTCATAATGCTGGGACTTTGAGTGACTTAGACTTGTGCATCTGCCACAGATGCTGTGAGAATCTGAGTGCCATGGTAGAAGCTGGACTAGAAGACACTGTTTCTCAGCACTCCTTTCCAACCACTGACTCTTACCATCTTTTTACCCCCTCTTCCAAGATGTTTCCTGAGCCTGGGGGTCAGGGTGTGATACAGTCATCTCATCTAAGGCTGAACACTTGAGAGAGAAGTGATTAAATCATAGGGATTCGGTCCTCATGAATATTATGTCAGCAGTGTACTTATTGTAGATGTGAGTTTTTGTTTTGTTTTGTTCTTTATGCCTTCTTCCATGGAAGGGTGCATCAGGATGGGCTTATAATTCTCAGATTCCAGAACTTTAGGAAATACATTTCTAATTTAAATAAATTGCCCTATTTGTGGCATTATATTATGGTAACATATAATACGCCAAGATAGAGGCAGCTGCACTTTAGGGAAGATCTTGCAATGAACCATGGCTATTAGGTTGAAAAATTTTGATATATTTGGAAGAATATTTAATTAAGAAAAATATTTTTTTTCTCATAATAGAAATGTCTTTGCAAGTTGGTGAGGAAAGAACAAAAGGAGGAGGAGGAGGATGGAGGAGCTCAATGATAGAGAGTCCTGGTCCTTTTCTTATGGATTCAAAGGCAGGCAGGGCTGCAAACTAGCCCTTGAGTCCACCCCTTAGGAAATCTGCTAAACCCTCATAATATCCACAGAAAGAGTTGGAAATCCAATAAAAGCGATTGGTGAATCCCAAAGAGAGCAAGAGGTCATATCTGAGAGACTTAGTAAGTTGTTCTGAGAAAATGTCAGCCATTCAGTTAAGGTCAGTGTGAAGCCATGGGATGGACTCATTCCTCTCTACCATGCCTTGTGAGAACAGCATCCAAGGAGCATGGGTTTCATTTCAGAGGGAACAGGAACGATAAATCCTGAGAAAATCCAGTAAGGACAGGTATAATAAGGCTGGTACAACCAAGAAAACATTAAAATATAATTTCTTATGAGGCTGGGTCAACACACATAAGGGGATTAACCTAACGTGGGCTCAAACAAGCGCTATTAAAGCCTCCTTTGTCATTCACAGTGGTTTATTAATCAGTTTTTATATTTTATAATTAAAATATTAACAGTTCTGCTTACTTTTATATATATTTTTTAAATCTTATATTCTCCATTTCCATTACCCAGTTGTAGCTAAGACCCTGACTGTCTGTACTGGCTCAGCATGGGTTGAGCTCCCAGGCGTCCATCTTTTCCTCTTCAAGTCCCAGCTGGTGTGGGAGACAGGAGACAGTGTCTCTTTAATTCACTGGCTGCTCTTATCCGCTAAATTTCCTGGGATTGTTGCTTCTTTGGCCGTCACCATCTGGCCATCTAACCGCTCTGAATGTCAGACATCCATGTGTTGGCTATCATGTGATAGCCTGTGTTGAGTTCTTCATGTGGGTTTGCAGCAGACCCAAGTCTGCTGCCTATACCCTCCCCTTCTCTGGAAATAGATTTACCTCACCTCATTATTTTTGGTAAATAGATTTAGGAAGAGGTGTGCCACTAGGATCTGGGCTGGTTGCAGAAGAGCAGGTACTGCAGCCTCTTAATAAGCTTTGTAACTGGCATTTAGCTTTAGTCATTGGCCACTTTCTCTTGACTTATGTTCCTCAGGTCTGTCTGTATATTGGCATTGCCTGAATTTTCCAAAGGACACATGAAAAACATCCATGTCCTCATTCCATCTTAATGAATTCTGAATATTTATTCTGGAGAATAATTGAACACTGACATTTTAAATCTATTTTCATTTTTAGGAGGGCATCAGGGGTGATGGGGCTATGTTAAGACCCAACATCCATTAAGGGGACTTACCCTACATTTTATCATATGGGCTCTGGGGTCAATTTTGAGGCAACAGGAATAATGACACTCAGTACCATGTGTTTGTGAAAACAAAAAACAAACAAACAAACAAAAAGAAAATTCAGTGAAGTTTTAGAGAAGACCAAAGAAAGATATATTCGCCTCTCAGGTATAAAAAAGTACAGTTGAGCAGCTGTGGTACAGGGAATAATTATAATGTTTTGCAAAACAA